GGCCCCCCCCCCGCCTGCGCGTGCTCACGCCGCCCCCGGCCCGGCAGCCGCTCACACCCTAACCCACGCGCTGAAGCCCTGCTCTCACGGGCAGCGCCGTCCCTGCCCCACGACAAGCAAACCAAGCCACTTCGCAGCCTCAGGTCTTGCCGAAGGACACGGTTCTTCTACGACAGCAGAGCGCGGCACAGCGGACCCCGGAGCTGCCTGGGGACGGGGATGAGGCGACAGGGCAGTCACTGGCCACTCAGGGTTTGATGCCCTCTCACCAGGGAGGAGGCTCAGCAGCCCTCGCACGGAGACGTCTCGCACACACGGCACCATGATCTGCTGCACGTGGGTTCTCTGTGTCTCATTGTGCGGGTGAAGGCAGGGCTGGCGGTTTGGGCAGATCACGACACTCCTCAGAACTGCTTATTGCACGGAAGCCACGTGGAGCTGTGGCTAGGGACCAGCTGACACTGACGCAGTCTTTGCAAGACACAGATGGGACAGAGAATGTGCTCACGCTCCGGAAGGACAGGCTCCAGCAGCTCAGGCCAGAGAAACGGGTCAGGCCAGGGAGCGAAGGCGGCTCTGGCCCTCACCCTGCTCCTGCCCCGTCTAACATCCTCACACACCCGTGAGGAGACACAGGTGGGGGCCGAGGTCACCGTTCTGCCCGGACACCGCAACGTGCTTCCCAGGAGCTGCACCTCCCGGGTTTACTCCAGCCTGGAGGGCAGAGGAGGCCCAGCCAAGGCGGACCTCACAGAGGACTGATGGCACCAGCTCACCGGCTGGGCCTGGGCCTCCCACATGCCTTCCGTGGCACCCTCGGGAAGTAGCCGGCATCTGTCAGTGCAGCCTGGGGTGGCACATCCCTCACGGCGTCGCAGCTGCAGTCCACGCACGTCCGTGGCAGTCACCTCGCACATGAACACTACTGACATGCCCTGGAGGTGCAGGGAGGGACTGCGGGCTTACCTGACCCCACGGGGCGCCAACCGGGCACAGCCCGCATGCTGCTGCAGAGATGGGCAGCGCTGCAGCCCCGGCCCGTGCTGCCCCTTCCGCCCCGGGACAGCGGGCAGCCCCAGGAGGGCCTCCGGCACCACACCACTGACCACTGGCACTGCCACACCGCACCCTTGGGACTGTGCTTCAGGCCAGCGGCACCTGCGTACCCCAGAGCGAGCGTGCCCGTCACGGCTGGCCTGGGGCTGGTTCTCATGACACAGAGGACACCACACACGCACGCAGGCACACACACGAGCATGTGTGTACATGCCAGGTGTGCTGTATACTTCCTGGTCAGGACGGGGACTTCCGAGAAGGCCCAGCACCAGTAAGGGCAGAGGTCAGGACTGAGAGCAGGGACACGGGCAAGTGGCCTCTGCTGAAGCCACCAGGAGGGGACGTAGATGCCAGATAGTCTGCACAGCCGAGGACACTATAGGGCGACACTCGGGGCACTGAGGCCAGCGAGCTGAGGCCTGCTCCTCTGAGTCTGTGCAGGCAGAGCCCCGGCTGGTCTAGGGGTGCACCTGCCCCCATCGCTGCCTGGCTGAGAACTGGGAGGGACCCTGGGCATATGCTGGGGGCAAAGAGGCACTTCCGGGGGTGAAGAGAAGAGGTGCAGCTACAGGTGAGGCTGGGGAGGCCACTGCTGGGCCTCAGACCGGGCAGCCTGCTCTCCTTAGCCTTGAAACCCACGTGGCCTCCCTGTGCGGAGAGAAACCCTCACCCACAAGCACTGAGCTTGGCCATGGAGACCCAGCTGACGCCTATGGATGACCTGCAGGGAACACCACAGCTGCAGTAGTGTGCCCTGCGTGGGGACGGTCTCAGGGCCTCTGTGTACTCCAGTGAGGGCTGAAGTGGCCTCCTGCGGCCTCCGTGCTGTGATCCCAGCCCCTGCCAGGACACCACCTCTCGGCTGCATGGAGCGGGCAGCCTCCAGCACAGCAGTGCTGAGGAGGGGGCCACTGCCACCGCCTTGCCCGGCTCTGGGCTCCCACTGGAGACTCCCAGGGCAGCCAGGGGTGCCCTCTGGTCTCACCCTTACCCCAGACTCCCATCCCAAACTGGCAGATCTCTCGCTCCCGCCTGTCTGCGAGACGGTTACCTGTGCCTCCTCACCCCTCGCGCACGACACACACAGGATGTACGTCACCTTGGTGGGGGTGGGAGGGCGCACGGAGATAGCCCCGAGGCCACAGAGCCCGGGCACTTGGACCACCCTCCCCTGTGCCATCGCCATGGGGAAAGCACAGGGCTCCACGGCTCCTCCCGAGTCCCCTCCACTGGCCTCGACAGCCTGCCCAGGTGTCACAGACCCCTCCTGGAGCTCAGGGCCAGCCCCACGGTCCGGGAAGTGGTCAGCTCTCCTCGCTGTCCCCACCCTCAGACTCCCCGGAACTCTCCCCCTGGGAACCGGGAGGCACGTGCACACACGCTCACACACCTGAGCAGCCCTGCACTGGCCACGTGGCCCTGGGCACTGGTCGCCGTGAAGTCCCATGAAGGCCCCAGGACTGTAGCAGTTCGGGCACCTGACAGCGTCCTGAGGCCCTCCAGGCCCACAGAACCGCTGGGGCTGGCTAGGCCCTCGCCCTGCCTCAGCCCCGCGCCCCGGAGCCGAGCCGGCCAGCTCGCAGAGCAGCACGTGCCTGGCCATGGGGTGCCCCGCTGCGCTCATAAACGAGTGCTCAGTCGGCCTCCACCTGGTTCTCGGCCCCCTGGCTCCAGGCACGGAGGTGCCCTGTCCAGACCGGCTGGCCCCCGGGACGGGCCCCCCCCCCCCGCA